CTAAAATTAAGTATCCTTAAAAACGTCAATATTTTATATATACTTAAGTGTGTTGAATTTGGAGGCATGAGCGGATTATCTAGCCCACCTTAATATACTGTAAAATTTTCTGGAGGACAGGCAAGTTCCTGCAGCTGAAGTTGTCCCAGGAGGAACTTGAGCAATACTTTATAAAAGGTCTGACAAGAGGTCACTTCCATCATTATAAGGGTACTTCTATGTTCTCATCAGTCCACATGTTCTCTCTAGTTGTGAGACGTATAAATTGCCAAATTAAATTATGCCAATTTTCCCACTTAGCAGATTGTTCTGTAAGTGCAGACATCTTATTTAACTTTTGCCATCTCAAAGTTAAAGGCTAACCTAAGTTAGTCATGTAGATACAGGCAATGTGAAGAGACAGGTACCTCCTGATTCCTCCTATCTTAAAGTAGGTGTCTAATACAGTGTCATCCAAACAGAGATTTACCCCACCTATTTCTTTGCACTGATGACAGGAGAGCTAACAACTAATTTAGCCCAGGCAGTGATCTGAGCTTTTAGAGATTAAAGTCAGGTAAGATAAATTTTACAATAATACTTGCTGCTGCAGGAACACTCTGCATAGAGGAAAAATCTCCTTACACCTCATCTAGCCAGTAGCTGCTGGATCGTACCAAAATAATTATACTCAGAACTGAGGGATATAAGCCAAATACCAAATAATCAGAGACACCTTCTCTTTGTATATGTTTACTGTTAAAAGAGATGTGTATAATATGTCTAATTATTTTTTCTTTTGCTTTAGGTAGTAACTTTCATGAATTGATCTGACGTATGTAGCTGGGACAAAACCGAGTATCAGAGACTGAGAATTCTGTGAGAGTACTTGGAAATTTCTTTGTGCCAATGTGAGGAAGAATCATACCTCTGAAATTCAGAAATACTGACATAACCTCAGTTCGGAGTTTAAGGAGTTACAGGGAAGTGAATATAACCTCTAAATGCTCTCTGAGCTGAAGTCTAAATGGTTTATACTGAAAGGAATAAATTGCTTCTTGAAAGCAATGTATTACTCATTGAGAAAGATTCTAGTATATTGCTTTCTCAACTATTTTTCTCCTGTTTACACTCATGTATTATTTCTTGGGTGGGATTCATCACCTACTGAAATACATATATAAAGTAAGCCACATTTCCACATAAAACTGAAGTTCCTACTGACCAAATTGCCTAGTACAGCATCAGTATAGTTATCCTGAGTATGAATTACCTGCCAATGGATAAATTAAACCAATTTGTGAAAAGTAAATTATTCAGTAAATGTCTTAGTGAATGAATATGAACTGAACCTAGTGGGTGACCTGTGGAAGGTAAATAAAGTATTACAGGAACTGCACCAACTGGTGAAACATGCTTGGTAGGGAACGAAATAAGCAGGTTGTCAGTTTCATATATTTTTGCCTATCCCCAAAGTACATAAATGGCATTAGGTAGATTTAAAAAGATTTGAAGAATGTAGATAATGTTCACAGTACTGATATCCATTAGTTACTATTTCCTCTATATTGTCTGAGCATTGTAAAAAAGTCTTTAGGACCTGAAAATCCTGAAAAAATTGTACAGCCTAAACCATATGGATATGAATACCAGTAGTGAAGAGAGGTATTTTTTCAAAGTAGCATACTCATATCAATTTGAAGATAGACTTTAATTAGTTATCTAGGTTAAAAATGTTCAGCAGTGGAACATGTGACAGACTTCTTCCTTGGTGTCACTCTACGAGGTATAAAGAAAGTCTGAAAGAGGAAAAGATTGTGGGGAGCTATTTTGTTTCAAGTAACTTTATTTTTACTTATGTATATTTACATACATATATCTCAAGTGTGTATATATACATTTTTATACTTATGAATCTCAGGAACACTAATCTTAATATTGTTTGAAGGTTGCCTGGTGGTCTCAGGTTTGTATGAGTTCTTGCAGTCTCAGTCAGGAAGCCCAAGAGCTGGTGCTGCAGCAAACGCACACCCTCCTGGGAGTTTCTCCTGGTGATACTAATTTCTCTCTGCTGACTGTAGGCAAAGTCTAGATGACTAGCTTGGTCTGGATGCCTAATTTTATATGGCGCTATGGCATGTGTAAAATGACATACATATTGTGTAGAAATCCTTGATTTATTTCAGATTTAATCCCAAAGAGATTTTGCTCTTTGTTATCCTACAACGTCTTGAAACCAAACCAGACCTCTCCACCTACTATTGCAAACAGTGGGAAGACTTCAGCCCAAGGTATTTTCCATATAAATTCAAATTTAGACAGAGGAATACCCCTAATGAAATATCATGTCATCAAAGTTGATCTATTTTCATGTAAAGTAATAGCAATAGCAATGATTTACTTTAGGATACTGTCTTGAGATCCTGAATGAGGGCAGGGACACTTGCTACTTGTATACATGTGTCGTCCATACATGTAATAAAAAGATTCTTTTTGCCAAAATCTATAGGAATAATTCAACAGAATTACTTATTTTTAACAGTTCATGCCAAAATATAAACCGTTCAAATAACTACAGAATTCAAGTGGGAAAACTTAGGGAAGCTAAAATGACTTTTCTATGATTGTACAAACATAAATCTAAAATTATTAAGTAAAGGGAAGCAATAACTCTTGGTTTACTTATTCCCATTATGTCATTTTCAACATAGGTGTGGTTAAAATATCTCTTCTATATTTCATTCATTTTTACAAGATTATTGCATGGAAGCTGTTTGCTTTTAGTTAGGATTGCAACTAGGAACATTTCACTATAAAGCCCTATTTTTTCTCTATTCAGTTGTGAAAAATTAGTTCGGTCTGAAAATTTCCAGATTTATTATAACTACCAAATATGTTTCTGTAGAGTCTGAAGAAGATAGGTCATACTCTTTTCATAAGTTTGGCTTTATAGGAGATTTTCTAATTCTAATAAAAATTGACTTGTTGCTCCTAACGCAAACTTTCTATTGGTTCAAATGTCATAAACCTATTTCCATATTTTTTAAAAAATAAACATATAATTAAATACTTCTATTAGTTGCTTTTGCTGCATAATGCATATTATAGGTCCAGTTCTGCATCTATTGAATTATGCTTCCTGGAAGTCATGGGCCTGATTGTCTGTTGTCTGTTCTATCCTGCGGAATTTCAGTGCAGACAGCACTGAGCAATGCTGTTAGTATTTGTGCCTTGTGTAGGCACTGATGGCTGTGAAGCATTGGCATCAATCATTGTGGTAAATGACGATTGGGCTGTATTTTGCACTCATATTGTGCTTAATTTGCAAATGTATAAATGATTGTACAGCACAGTGAGAAACTGAATCTGTAAGTGTTCCCTTCCATATTTTTCACAGGAAGCAGCCCTTGTATAACACTAATAAATTAGATGTCTAGTTAGAAAAATAATCCACTTTTGTCTTCTACCACACATCTCTCACTGTCAAATAAAATAAGGGTTGTACATGCATTGCCAGTTTGATTTGTGGACAGGACTTTGCACATATTCACCGTATAAAGCAGCAGTCATGTACTCAAAGACATGCGTCAATGCATGGGGAAATGAGCACACAGATACAGGGCACATAGATTAATGTCCCATACAAAGCTGTAGTGATAACATATCCTCATTTTGCAATCTCAGCAGTATTTTTGTGTAATTTTATTTGGTTTTAATTTTCTTAATTAAGTCAAGTACACAGAAAAAAAACAGAGATTTCCCTCCACCTTGGTCATAAATAAAGTGGGAGCAGGAGTTGTGCAATGCAAACCACTAGCATTTGAAACTATCTGAATAACTGATAAAAATAGCAGGTTCCTGTAAATCTGGGATAAAGAAGATAAGATTGTAAGTTCTTGGAAAGTAAGAACACCCAATTAAAGATTGCCAGTCTTGACTTAAAGATGTTGAATGCTGGAGAACTCATGATGTTCCTAGGTATTTTTACAATGATTGATTACTGTGTCTGGTAAAATGGGTTCCTCATTTCCAGTGGGAACTGATACAGTTTCTCACAGGTGGATCTTGCTGTGCTCCTATCTGATACAAGGAAGTGCCAGCTACTACCAGAAATTTTATCTCCAGACAGGTACTTGCAGACTGTGATCAAATCACCTCTTAACCTCATTGACAAGAAAAATAAATTGACCTTGTTACATCTCTAGTGTAACACTCATGGGTAGAATTACAACCATTTTGTTTTTCAATTTTCCAGTAAGTTTTTGAAACAATGACAGAAGTAGCAGCTTCATAAGTAACTACTCCTTACTCCTACTTGTAATTCCATTTATTATACATAGAAAGGGCTGTAGCCTACTCTGATGACTCATATTTAGCTGATTATCCATGAGATCCTGTGTACCTTTTCCAAGTTCACTGATTTCCTGCATGCAGTTTCTCATCTTCTGTGTGACCTACATTTATTTCATTGCATTTGGCCATATTGGAATATAAGTAAGTCTGTTTTAATGATGTGACTCAATTTGTTCCATATAATTTATTCTCGTTACTGGTTACTGTGCTATCAGTTTTTTGGCATCCATAATTTTCTTCAGCAAAAAGTTTATATTTTCTTCTAGATTGCTCATAAAGATTCTGAATAGCATTGAGAGAATAGCAAACCCACTTGGAATTACACTGAAAATACCCACATTGAATACTGACTGTCTTATCTCCAAGTTTTCAGATCTCCCAGTTTTTAATTATTTTATATGTGTAATACCTTTGTTCTGTTCTTTTATGACTGTCATTGGGCAGTCCTCAGCTAGTACAAATCTTCGTATATCTATTAGGAGGTTAGTTAATTATGAATATAATTTTCTGGTGTAAATATCAGATGGGATTGTCCTTGTGACCTCTTCAGCTGCATCCTGAAGCAGACACTCCTATTTTATTCCTCTCCTTTTTTAGAATCAATGTTTTCTCTGTTTTTAATGTATTTCCTGCCTTAAAATGACCAAAGATGATATTGCCATCAGTTTTTCAATTTTACTTTAATGTCATATACAAAATATCCATTCTACCTTACAACTTATATAAAATCCAATGTACAGTATCTTAAATTTGTTTAAATAGTATTATAAACATAACTTTCAGGAGGAGTCAGTCCTGGAGTGATGCAGTCTTTTGTTAATTACAGTTCCTTTTGATATCCCTGCTGTTCAGTAAAAAGTCCACCTTAGATTCGAGAAAGATCCTTATGAGCTCAGATTTGGTTCTTATCAAGCAAAAATAAACTCCCAGATTATTTTTTTTTCAACTTCGTGTCCCCCACACAGCTAGACAACATTCTGTGCTGGGGTGTCCATCCAGTTTGAATGTCATTTGACATCATCTACTTCAGAGCTCATCTTCATCCGATAAAGCGTCAAGGTAATCTGTATCAACGTATAAGAGAAATCCAGAAAACAAACTGTCTGCCCATGTTGGATCAGAAAATAGACCATTTTGGTCAGCGTAGAAGATCTCAAGCCATACTTCGTCTTCTGGCTGAAGGTAGATCACTGTGGATCCAGAAGCTACATCATGGTTGCCTGTGTTCGCATCAAATGTCTTTATCCGGTACTTCCCATTGTGAACCAGCCCAATCGCAAGATGCTTGTTTGCTAAGGTGATATCATAAGAAAAATAATAAATCCCTGGGATGGCACAAATAAACTTCCCTGTGGAAGGGTTGTAATGCTCCCCCTCATTGAAGAGGACTTTATTGAATACAATTGGTAATCTTTCCGCTGGGTAGCTGGTGGTGATGCCAACAGAAAAGGCAGATTTCAGCACTATCTTTCCACACTTACAGACCCCTGGTGCACCTGGCTCTCCTCGGTCTCCTTTATCTCCCTTAGGTCCAGGTGGTCCAGCTGGACCTACTTCACCTTTGGCACCAGTCAATCCTCCAGGTCCTTTTTTACCAGACTGACCTTGGTCTCCTTTCTCTCCAGCTGGTCCTAATGGCCCAGTCTTTCCTCTTAAACCTTCAAAAACATTTTAAGTTAGTTAATCGTTGCATATATCATCTCAGTAAATGACTGTGTGGGCTACTGTGTGTGCCTGAACAAATAAGAAAAACATGGTCAGAATTTCAAAATGCTCCAAAAATACTTTCAAAATCTTCTAATAAGTTTGTGAAAGGAATGGTAGGTTGGAACAGAGGACCAGGCTCCACAGCCCAGGGGTCCTTTGTTTCTATGTTCCTCCTTTTCCTCATACGTCTTGATTACGCATTGAAGAATTTTATATGTAATCAGTCGATTGCCGACTGAACTATGGGCACTGCTGATGGGAAGGACAGCAGAGTGGCTACCTATATTATGATACTTGTGCGCTAAATATCTCCTACTCTTTGAGCATTTTTACTGTGTACCTAAATACCTGCTAATCTTTTATTTCCAGCTAATGGCACAAATGAGACTATTTATTTGACACCACACATGCTTCATTTTTCCCAGACTTTTTCTTAGCATCTATGCGCAGAGAGGCTATGCATTTACATTTATTTACACAGATTTCAGTATATGCATATTAGACATATCTAAAATATATCTAGATATTTTCTTTCTCTCACTATATGTACATGCATCACACTTAAACCCACACAGCCACATACACACATTCATCGTGTATATATCTATATATGTAGAACAGTGATGATGGAAGGTCTTACTTTGTTCTACTACTGTGTTAGATGACACAAATATTCAATACCTGCGCTCCCCTTTTCACCTTTTTCTCCCTTCCTGCCATCTCTACCATCTCTTCCTGGAAGACCAATGCGTCCATGTGGGCCCGGGGATCCGCCAGCTCCAGGGGGACCTGCAGGGCCCGGCAAACCAGGGATGCTACAGATGTATCTGGTGTAGTAATTTTCTCCTTTGAACTGGTTTTGAAGAGGTTGTTCGCTTGTGTAGATGGCAAAACTTGTAATGTAAAGCAACACAAACATCCTTGGATCTGGAAAAAATACATATGAATATGACTATTTATGCATATTATGGCACTCTAGTCACATGGAGATGGCTCTGAATATGCTAATGAGAGTGACACTGCAGTGCATTATGCACAGGTACATGTGCAGAGATCACCCTGGGATTTCTGCATTACCAGAATCCATGTAGGAGGCAAGGAGGAAAATCTGTCAGGTTGGACCTTTTTCTGGTCACCGTAAATGTTACTGTATGTCTTTCAAGTAGCCTGTAGACTGACATAGTATAAACTGGCCAATACCAGCTTTTTTGGACCAAATTTTGACACGTTAAAAAAAGAATCTGGATTTTTCAATGCAGAGTCCTTGCTTGCATAGTTTGGTTTGGGTTTGGGACTGGTATAAGCTTTATGGAGAAAAGCCCTCTTGCTGGAAGCAGTTGTGTCTGTACTAGGAGAATGTGCCTGTAGGAGCAGTCTCTTCTAGTGAGGACAAAGCTTACACCTTCATTTAATTTTGAAATTTGCCCTTATGGTTACACATTAATCTCCAGCCTGAATAACTGCAGCAGAAACTTGCTGAGCCTACAGAAGGGATACCAGTAAGACAGCTACAGCTTCCAGTGCCTGGTTGGAAACCCTGATGACCACAGCACAAATAACCACTTCACCCTAATCCGGCAGGTCAAATCAGGCAGCTGCCCTGTGGGGAATTGATGGAGTGTGAATGGGCTGCTAACAGGTTGGCGTTTTTTAAGCCTGGCTCGGACTGCCATATGAAATGAACTGTGTTGCAATATGTTGCAAGAAAATTGTTTAAAGCTTTAGATATAGTATTTAGGTGTTTTCATAAATGATTGAGTGTAAATCGGATTTCTCTGTTCCACTATATACTGGGAGAGAAAAGAAAAAACACTGTAACATGCTGAGGAGTTGCAATACCTGATGTACAAAGGTGTATTAAATTAGTGTTGCATTAGCAGAGTCAGTCATGGGTCAGGTGAGATTTTGCAAGTCAAGCTGTTTTTTCTAGTTCCCTTGCTGGCTTCTCAGAAGACTTGTGTGGGGTTTTTTGTTGGAGTTGTCCATTCCTTCAGAGCTAATTTTCAGCATTCAAGGAAATCAGACTCCACTGGTTTCTGTGCAGAGAAAAAGAAGATATGGAGTGGGGGATTCAGAAAAATATATGTGTGAGATACCATCTACCTTTTTTTACAGTGAAACTCAGGTTCATTCTCAAACCCAGAGTTAAAGAAGTTGCAAAGTGAATTAATCTAGAAATCGTTGTTCCCATTCCTTTCTCTGTAATACTGATTGGCATTGACTGATTGATTTAAAAATCCAAACCGTTACATTTATTTGCAGTTCATGATATTTCAGCTGGTGTATGGCACAGTCAAATCTATTCAGCAGAGAAAAAGACCAGCATATACACATACACATACACAGTCTTTCTGAAGAATCTTTTCTGTTTTACAGAATAGAAAATTAGAAACTGTCTTGGTATCAATGGCAATGCAGAAAAAAGCATGAAAATATTATAGTTGGAGAGAAATAAGCAATGCTCCAAAATTCTCTTCAGTGATGTATATTCTGCTTTTCATATTAAGCATCTTCTATCAAATTGGCAGAAATCAAACTATTAATTTTGCTGTCATTTGATAAAGCCTTAAAGTACAGTCAGGCACAACAGCCTCCAAGAGTGGATTAACATATGAATGCTTAACATTACAGCAGAGCAGCAAATGATAACTCCAAGGCAGTAGTTAGCTACAAGCACAAACTTCACAGCGACGTTTGCTCTGATGTATTACTGAGTGTACCCAAATAAAGCTCGTGGATTTTCATAGGACTTAAATCAGGGACAACAAAGCTCTCTGCAGAGAAGAACAACTTTAAGCACTTAGCCAGGAGAGAGCAGCTTGGAGGGAGTTCATGCCTAAGACTGCATATGCATTTTACATAAAGCTGATGGATAAGAAGCAGACACGACCTAAGGATCAAGGACTGGAGCAAAAACTGCCCTTTGCCAGATGAAAGCCTGAATCAGTAGGCTAGATGTTCCCACACTGTTGCACGTAAGCCAAGCAAAACCAATCTCAACAACTGCTGGTTTTGCCTATGTCCAGGATCTTTTACAAATCAGAGTAAGAGCCTTCACACAGCTGCTCCTGTCACTGGCTGGCCAGTTAATTTATTGATGCATGAAGCTGTCTCCAGCTCCCAGACCTCCCCTGCTGTTCTTCTCATGTGCCTACAGGAAATGAATTAGTCTGGGACATGTGTTTCTGCTAAGGCCATGGGAAAAAAATAATTTGGGGAAGGTGAGGGGAATGGGGTTATTGAGGTAGGGATGTGCCTTAGATGGCTAGGGTATTGTGGTTGGAAAACCAATTTGGGAAGGAGAAGGCATAGAGGGGAGTATGTGGAGCTTTCAGCTATGGGTTGGGGGTCTTAAGGAGTGATGGGGCTTTGAAGCAGAATGGTGGGACTGCAGGAAGGGGCACAGAGCTGGGATTGGGAGGAAATGGTGATAATATTCAGGCGATGATGTTTGCAGCCCTTAATTTAGGCTTGGGGGCAGTACAGAAGGCTGCTTCCAACAGTGGCACCAAACAAATGCCATTTGGGAAATGATGCATTAAGCCACAGAATCAGGACTTCTCTTGCCCTTTGACTTCAGACTCTTGCATATCTTCCTGCATAATGGACCAATTTTAAAGGAGGGGTGGAAGGTGCCTCTCAGTTACTGCAGCAGTCTCTTGGAAAATGTGAATCTCCTCAGACCAAGGAAGGATGTACATCATTGAACCCATGCCCTGTTTCCTGGTGAGTGCTCTAAAAGATAAATTGTAATGTTAAAGGTGAATGATAACATATAGCCATGCTTTTGAAATTTCAGGCTGAATTAGGAGGCCAAAATCAGAGATTTCAGTTCACCTGGGCTTATGAAATTAGAGGGTGGAATAGACATCCCAGATCACTTCCTCAGGAGTCACCTATGTTGCAGTGAACTACTTGATCACAGAGAGTTAACTGGTAGGCAGAAAGCGAGTCATAAATTACACTTTGGTCCTGGCTTCTGGTTACAAACTTTTGTCCATAAACTGGGGTAGGAAACAATGTCATTTATATATGCAAAATAATTTTTCTTCTGGGAAAAACAGCATTTGAGGAGTTCATTCTTTTTTCCAAATATTGAAAGCCAGAACAAGCACATGGTATTCTTGTTCACAACAATAACAATCATCTTCATCAAAACCATCACCAAAAATAATAATGAGAATGATATGAACACAGGATTAGAATAACATTATTCCAAGTTTATAAAATGGCATTTCAATAGGTTCCAAATCCACTAGGTAGAGCAAGAGTGCATGCCAAGGCATTTGCTGGAAGAAGATGGACATGCTGATCAGTTCTAATGTGCAGTGATTTCTGGAACCTCCTTTTTAAGTGAGGGTGGCAGATTCATTTGTTCTGTCACTGTTCAAATTGCACAAGCAGCATGATCACTGCCCTTGTGCATAAACCCAAAAGATCATCTGATTCTTTTGATATTGGAAAAATATTAAAATAGCTATTCTGGACCTAATACCTTGTTGCAGTCTGTTAAGGTGACAGATCTAATGAATCAAAAGAAACATCAAAAGAAGCGTGGCCAGCAGGTTGAGGTAGGTGATTCTGCCCCTCTACTCCATTCTGGTGAGACTCCACCTGGAGTACAGTGTCCAGCTCTGGAGTCCTTAGTTCAGGAAAGACATGGACCTGTTGGAGTGGGTCCAGAGAAGGGCCAAGAAAATAATCAGAGGGATGGAGCACCTCTCCTATGAGGAAAGGCTGAGAGAGTTGGGGTTGTTCAGCCTGGAGAAGAGAAGGCTCCAGGGAGACCTTATTGCAGCCTTTCAGTACTTGAAGGAGGCTTATAAGATGGGGACAGACCTTTTAGTAGGGCCTGTTGTGATAGGACAAGGGGTAATGGTTTTAAAGTAAAAGAGGGCAGATTTACACTAGATATAAGGAAGACATTTTTTATAATGAGGATGGTGAAACACTGGAACAGGTTGCCCAGAGAGGTGGTAGATGCCCTATGCCTGGAAACATTCAAGGTCAGGTTGGCTGGGGCTCTGAGCAACCTGATCTAGCTGAAGATGTCCCTGCTTATTGGAGGGGGGTTGGACTAGATGACCTTTAAAGGTCCCTTTCAACCTGAACTGTTCTATGATTCTATGATCTACCTTGAGAAGATACTCTGTATGTTACATTCCCATCTAAGCTAGGTGCTGGGCGGAGGGTCTTTAACATCAAGCCTTTAAGAAATCTCACTTCATTACTAATATACTCAGACTATGTCATTAACATTTTTTTTAAGCTTAGGAATTCAGGGACTGTAGCAAATTCCCAGTTTTGAGACTTTCTGGTATATGATCTAATCTTCTTCCCTTGTCCAGCTATGCAGGTCTTAATTCTAAAAATTACTAACTGGCATTGTTTTGAAACAATCCTAGAAGATTTCCCATGAATGTGTTATAAATAAAAGCTGGGTCAAAAGCCAGTAATTATTAGTCACAAGTTATCCTGGCTGTGTTCTTACTTTTGTCTTTCGTTGCTAGCTTTGAATTCACTTCCAATGCATATATATGCACAACTATTTGAGGAGGAGAAGAAGATGTGTTTTAACTTCCTTGTGGAAAAAGATGTAGATGAGAAATAGTGATGCTCCTGGGCCTTTTCTGTCTGCAGCACTGGCAATGGCTTAGTGGTGCAGAACAGGATAGTCTATACCTCATTGGGCTCTCCAATAGCAAAGGCCCATACTGCCTCACATCACTACCTTGCATCCCCACTGTGGCATGTACAGACCTTCCCCAGCTCTGCCATCCAGGAGAGCTGTGGTAGGAGAAACAAGGAAGGCAGAGCAGGAGGTACTAAGTCAGGATGAGAAGCAGAGAGATACAACCTCAACAATTAGCTTGAACTCTCACTAGCTATGCCTGTCTTTTCCTTCTCAAAACATGATCCACAAAAATCAGTTGTGTCCACATGCCTGAAGGGTCCAAACCTGCCATTCATTTTGCCACCTCCACTGACCTTTCTACAAAGCCTCAGAAACAGTGGCTTGCAGTTTAGCATGCCACACTCTGCAGTTTATTTGCACTGTATGATTTTCATGCTATTTAGAATACAAGTCTTAATTACGGATTTTTTCCCAGGTATTTTATGTTGATGATTCACCTTCAATTGGGCACAGGTTTATGCATCTCCCAGCTTGTTTTGTGTTATGAGGACCATGCTGGACTTCCAGAGCTCCACCTATAAGACCCTGTCTTACTCTACGGAATCAAGACCACAGCTGGCCACCACCACACTCCAACACAAGGGAAGCAAAGACAATGTAAAGCCATGTGAAGATTGCTGGATTCTATAGCTAACCTTGTCTTTGCTTCCCTTATGTAAGAAGGGGAGAGTGACCTAAACACTTTTTGAGCAGTCTGAACTTTTGATTCCCAGTCCCAGAATGGCTGATGGTGCCCAAAGGGATCAGTCAGCCAGTGGGAAGGAACATTAGCTAAGTATTTCTGAGAAAACAATCCTTAAAGGCCTTATTAGCAATGCTGACATTTAACAGTCTCACTTGCTAAGTTTGTACTCAGTCATGTTTGAACAGTCTCCTTCATAAGTACATTGAACACAGTCAGATTCTTCAACCACGTCTCAAGCCTTCAGGAAAAATAGAGTGCTTATAATCAAGACCAGAAGTTCAATGTGTTTGATTTTTCAAAATATCAAAGGAGTGGGAGTCATTCTGTTTCTCAGTGTCTGACTTGAAACATAGTCTCTCTTTTTGGTTCCAGCCATTCCCATTATTTGGGAATGCCCTAGAAGCTGATCAAGGCGTGTATCGGTGAGATAGTCTGACTCAGCTGGGGGGAATTTTAACATGAGGGCTGGCAGGCAAAGCAGTTTCACTGCCAGCTGTACCAGAACACACAAACAAATGAAACCTGACAGAATTTGTCTTGACAGAGAGTTGAGAAACAAGGCCAGTTGCTTACAGTTGGCAATTAACATGGAGACAATAATATGTTTGCAATGTAGTGAAAAATGGCCAGGACTTAACACTGGAAGACTCAGGATACAAGTGTCCC